AAATAATATAATAATAATAATAATAATAATAATAATAATAAATAATAAATAATACTGGAGGCAGAAATCCATTCGCTCAACCTGACACAGAAGGGCAAATGAATAATAGATGCAGCAGAGAGAAAAAGACAAGGAACAATTTAATATGGAGTCTGTATGTTTAGTTCCACTGAACTCATAGTAATAATAATAATAAAAAATAAAACCGACAGATAGTACTTTTAAGACTATCAGATTTCTTTTAGTGTGAGCTTTCAGGAAAGCTCATAGGAAAATAAATCTCTTAATCCGAAAGATGTAGCAACACTTTGTCTTCTGTTTTGGTTATGTACTTGCTGATACAGATTGACACAACTCTTTGAAAATGATGGACCCACTAAGAACCTTTCTGAAACTGAAACCATGTCAGTCTTCTTTAAACTGAGTTTCTCAGAATCACACTGGATTGTAAAACCTCATGCCATTCTGTCAGTAAATCCCTGTGTAGTTTCGTCATATATTTCCTCATTAACATGTTTGTATATGTTTTTCCACTGAGTAGTTTGTTTTTGTGCATTTTTCACAGAGACACAATTTGAGTTGTGCATTTTCTTTAACCCCCTCCAAATGCATCACAAGTCCTAGAAATAAGTGGATTTGTATTCTGTTGCTAGCTTTGATGGCAAAATATGAATGTAGTGAACTTCTATGACTGTTTTGGATTGGAATGTCAGAAAAGCCAGTGTTTTTCCCTGCATAGAGGTAGAATCAGCAGCAATAGTGTTTTTTTTTTCTGAGGACAAAGGTGGTTGGGTCTTGTAAGCCTATTTTTGGATGGGAAGTTTGCACAAACAGAAGGAAAATTCTGAGCCTGCAGTGGGAATATATTTGAGGAGTTTGTGGGTGATGGGAGAGTGTACAGGAGAAGATATTTTTAAGATTGAGTAGACAGACTTCAGGTTTATAGGGTCTACCTTGTTTTTCATGAAAATGTCCATCAAGCAGTACCAAATGGAAAAGAGTCGCTTAAGAAGGCGAGCACAGGGAGTCTCTTAAGCACATGTAAACCCCAGCTGTTTCCTTCCAGTAGCAGAATTTGAGGTGTCACACAGATCCAGTAGAGAATTTGAGGTGTCACACAGATCTACCCCCTCCAGGATTCAGGCGGGAAAGAAAACTTTTGGCCTTCCAGATGTTCTTGACTTCCAGCTCCCATAATCCTTTAACTCTGGCTACGTAGGACAAGGCTGATGGGAACAGAAACCCAATGGCTCTGGATTTCCAAATTCCTTCATCCTTGGACCAGAAGAAGAGAGAAAGATTTATCCTCCAGAAATTCCTGGGTTGCAGTTCCAGCATTCTCCACTGTTGACTGAGGGAAGTAAAACACAGCATCTGGGACTGGATCCTCCAGATTAGTGGTCTCCACCATTGGGCATCCATAGGTTCTTGGACTACAATTCCCAGAAACCTTCATCACCACCTCTGCTGGCCTGGATTTCTGGAAGTCCAAGAACATCTGGAGGCCCAAGGTTGGGGAACCGCGGAGCCTTTTTCAGGCTGAAGAATCTCGAACCAAACACCACTAGAGATCCTATGGAGTTGAAGTCCAAGAACATCTGGAGCCTTTTTCAGGCTGAAGAACGTCGAACCAAACACCACTAGAGATCCTGCTTCTCGCCCAAGAGCTGTCCTTCATAAAGAAACAAGTTACTCTAGAAGCATATCTTACAAAAGTTATATTTTTTGGAGGGTAGAATAACCCACCCAATAACCCAAGAAATTGCAAGCATGGAGGTCCCATTTTTGTTCCGACCAAGTTGAATATTCCATGTTGGGCTCTTACATTCGTGCCACCCTGCTCGTCGTTGCTTGGTGACAAAAGAATGTGAATTTTCCATCCAAGCTTCTCTTTAAAAAAATCTGTTTCTCTTTGTATAAAAAGCTGCCCCTCTTTAAGAACGTCTTCAGAAAATTTGAAGAAATATTTCAAAAATCTGTTTCTCTGCTGGAGCTTTCTGTACTGAACCTTTTAATGGAAAGCGTCTGAGATGTTCTCACTGTGGACTAGACTTTATTTGGGAGTACTAATAACATTACTGTGTTACTTTAGGAGAACTAAGGTTCTGTCTGTCGGGACGATCCCTTAGCCAACAGCGCTCTCTGAGCAAGAGAAGGGGTTTTTGGCTGGACTGAAAGGACGAGAAAAGCTGCAGGGCCCAAACAAGGATGGTGGGTCTCCCGTTTGCCATGCTCACATGAAACAAACCTGATACAAAACAGTGATTGTTGTGGGTTTTTCGGGCTCTTTGGCCATGTTCTGAAGGTTGAGAGGTTCTGAAGGTTGAGGGTCAAAGAGCCCGAAACACCCACAACAACTATTAGATCCCGGCCGTGAAAGCCTTCGCGAATACACGTGCCAAAAA